GAAATTGTATGGTCTATTTGCTTCGATAAAGTCGTGTCAATTTGACTATCAGATTGACGAAATGACGATGAACAAAGGAAACCGGTCGAAACAATTGGAAATGACTCAATCACATACAAAAAATGGCAACACACTACTATGTGCGAAGTTGCTTCCAATATCCCATCATGAATTTCAAGCATACAGAGCATCGTACCAGTGACTCAATAATTGGTCTGGTGGTCTAGTAAGAGCAATGACACTGAGTTGTTTAATGTAGTCCATATTGATGAGAAATGGTTTTACATCACGAAACTGTGCCGCCGCTTTTACCTCTGGACCGATGAAGACAACCCGCCGAGACATGTCCAATCCAAGAGCCACATCACCAAGGTGATGTTTTTGGTTGTTGTTGCTCAACCACGTAGCGGCTGGGACGGCAAGGTTGGAAGTTGGCCGTTTGTTTCAAGAATGCCTGCCCAACGATCAAGTGTCAATCGACCCGCAGGCACAATCGTCACCGTCACCGTCAATGTAACAAGACAGGTCTATCGATCGTTCTTGGTTGACAAAGTACTCCCAGCGATCAAGGCCAAGTGGTGCTGGTTGACGAACGACAACGATGGCGTGGTCTACCTTCAACAAGACAATGCCCGTGTCCACGTGACCTTCGATGACCCACAAGTTCTGCGTGCTGCTGAGCACTCTGAGCTCTCGATTCGCGTCCGGAACCAGCCTCCCCAAAGCCCAGACCTGAATGTTTTGAATCTGGGCTTTTTCAACTCAATCCAAGCGCGTCAGCAACGATGGAGTACAGGACCATCGTCGAGCTCGTTCTGGCTGTGCAAACTTCCTTTAGTGCATTGTCGACTGCGAAGTTGGAGAAGACCTTTGGCAAGTTGGATCGAGTTATGCGTGCAATTGTCGAGGCAAAGGGCGGTAATACGTACAAGATCCCGCGGAGTAAGGAAAGGGTGGAAGATAAGATCGACGAAGACGTCATGGCGAGCTTGCAATTGATGAACCTTCGTGTAGAAGAGGAAAGTAAGTTGGATGAGTTGTGTGATCTTGTAAACACCATTGCCGTTTAGTTCTTTTAAACAGATTCTTTGTACTTAAATTTTGTATGCCTTTGAATATTCGTCTGCAATTGTTGCCAACCAGAGGTAGTACAATACAATACAGCTAGTGAGCTTGATTTTGCCAACATATGGAGGATGATTGAATTGACCCGGTTTGATGCATCTGAAATATATATGTGCACTGCGCTATAAACTTTCTATATGCTAAAACACATTCAAAATGGAAACAAATTAGTGCTGGGAATTG